AGCCTCGTATCCGAGTTTGGGTTACAATTATGAAAGCGACCCTCCGGGCTATGATTGCTTACGGCGAGACGGAAGAGTGCACACAGGATCAATATCAGTCGGAAGTTTGCCTGGACCACAAAGCAGACCAACTTACCCAGCATCGTAGGAAATTGCTGCGGAATAGTCATGACCTACGAGTGAGGGGGAGGCGGAGGCGGGGGCACCTGTGACGGCCACCTACGAGAAGGGCGACTACCGGTTCGCGCGGGAGAAGAATTGCGACCTGCGTTTGCTCGACTTCGAGACGTTCGGCGGCTTCGGGAACGGCGTCCGCAAAATTCTTCGGCAGGCGGCGGACCAGCTGAGTAACAAACTTTCGCACCACGCACGCTCAGCACCTCGCGATGAGGTCACATGGACCACCAAGAACTGGCACGGGCTGCAGATGCAGCGCTTGTCTGTCGTTCTCCACGCCGCCGTGGCGTGGCAGACGGTGAACGAGCTAGCGTGCGGGGACAGCGGCATTGTGCACGGAGCTAAGTGCATTGCCGTTCTTAACGGAGTCGCTTAGGCGGCTCCGGTGGTGTGCCTGTGATAGTACTAGCACGCGCCAGTTCGCACCTGTGTCGAGCCTGTCTGCTGTGAGAGAGAGTTCCGTTGTTTAAATTCTTTCAGCTCCGTGCCCAGTGTTGTGATGGGCGCTCGTAAAATTCTTTCAGTCCGCGCCAGTCCGCGCCCTTGTCGTGCCAGTGTGCTAAATAAATAAATAAATACAACGGACACGCCAAACGAGGGGTGGGAGTGTGCTGTGTAGAGAGAGGCTTGTTTGCGCAGAATTCTTTCAGGCTGCTTTCCGGAATAAGCGATCGTCGAGCAGCATCGCGAGCTGCGTCCCTCGCCATGCTCAAGACCGACTCCAAGTGCCCCGTGATGCGGCTCTTGTGCTTCTTGCTCCTCACGCTGCCCAGCACCGTGGCCTCGTTGGCGCGCACCGCCCAGCGCTCGCCAGCAGCGAGCACCCGGCTCTCTGGCGCTATTCGCCCCGCCTCACCGGCGGGCGTGCTCGGGAGGCGGTCGTACAGGGCGCGCGCAGGGCGTTTTCGCACCTCCCCGCCGCTCTGCGTCCGTATGATGTGCGGCGCGTGCGGGGGGGAGAGCCCAGGTGGCGGCGCCGAACGACATCATAGCGGGTCGGCAGAGGAGGACGACTGCTTGGGAGCGTCGATCCGCGAGCTGGGGGAGCTCGCCCAGCCCCTTGTCCGCGGCGGCGACCTGGGAGCTGCGCCTTTTGCGCCCGGCTCGTTGCCGGAGCTGCCTGGCGGGCCCGTGCTGATCCTAGGGGCCGGGTGGGTCGGCTCGCGGCTGGCAGCGCGCCTGAGCCAGGAGCGCTGCGCGCGCGTCGCGGTCACAAACCGCCCCGACTGGCGCTCGCGCCAGAAGGAGGCGTACTTCGCCCCGGTGCCCCTCAACCCGCCGCCCGTCTCGCGGCACGCCTTCGACATTGATGCTCCGGAGACGTGGGACGCGCTGCCAGAGCCCGAAACTCTGGGCGCCGCGGTGCTCACGTTTGCGGCGACGGCGGATCAGCTGCGCCCCTTTTGGGAGCGGTACTTGCGGAAGGTCCCGCGCACGGTCGCCTACTCGTCGACCGCCGTCTACCGCGTCGACGTTCCAGGGCAAGAGGTGGACGAGACCACCCCGCTTCGGCCAACCGCACGCGCCGCCGCCGACGCGTTCCTGCTGCAGCGCGGCGCGACGGTGCTCACGATCTCGGGCATCTTTGGCGAGGCGCAGGACGCGCGCGGCGTGTGCACATGCTTCGCCGCATACGCCTCCGCGGGCGGCGCGCTCAACGGGCAAAAGAGCGTCAACATGGTCCACGTGGACGACATCATCGCGGCGACCGCGCACGCGCTCGACGCCGAGGCTCGCGCTCTAGAATCGAAGAGCGGGGGAGATGTGGGGGAGATGTGGACCCGCACTCCGCCGTACTCCGCCGTACTCCGCCGTATTCAGCTGTATTCACTGCACTCGTACCCCTCGTATTCACGCGGTGCTCTGAAGACGCTGCACAAGACTGTTCCCGCCCCGAGGTTGGCGAATCCACCGTGTAGGACGCTCTCGTGGCCGGGGCGAGGCTGAATGTGGGCGGCGGCGTCTTCAAGCTGCACGAGCTCATGAGCCACTGCAAGTACCCGCAGGCAGCGGAGGCGGCTCACGCCAGGGATGACACGGACCTCTCCTCGAAGGCCGTCCTCTCCACGAGACTGCTACAGACGGTGATGCCACGCGACTTCAGCTTTGTGCCGCCGCTCGAGTCCGCTGCCGCCGCCGCCGCGCGCCGCGCCGCTGCTCTCGCCCCCGATGCCGTCGGCCCTTCTCCCGCCGCTAGCCCAGCAGCCGATTCGGCGTGACTTGCGTGGAGGCAGCGCAAACCGGGTACCGGCCCCGCGGTGAACTTGGCGAACGCCGTCGCCATGGCACAAGACAACAACTTACAAATCTCCGTCAGACGACCTGTGTTTCTTGTGATTCGTGCCGTACAACAGACCGAGAGAATTCCTACAAAGGATGCTCTTCCCGTGACGAAAAACGAACACACACCAAGCCCGGCACCAACTTGATTCGTAGATCGGTCTCACGGCCGGGCCGCGGGACGGGGAGGGAGGGGGGTCGATCCGTAAATCCGTAATTCCGTAAATTTGTAACGAAAAGCCACCAGGAGTCCCCCACCACACCCATCCACCAGGCAGATAGAGACACAGCACTCGCGACACGCTGAGAAGCCGGAGGCTGGCCTCTCCAACGCTCGCGCAACGCTGTCTGCACGTGCGCAGCTCTGGGGTCCGGGCGGCCCAGGCCACACGGTGGGAGGGTCAACGACCGTACGACTGTAACGCTACGTATATCTCTTAACAATCACTATATTCGTGCTTGCCGTGCTGCGCCTCTGCGAGTGCGACTATCAACCCCTCACGCGTGTGCATAATCCCCTCCATCTTGTTGTGCAGCGCCTTGACCTCTCCGCCTCGCTGCGGCATCAGCGCGCCTCTGGAGCAGCATCTCAGCACTCGCACTACTCACAGCTGCATGGATGTCCGAGCCCTTTAGCGTGGTTTGCGCGTCTGTGCTGACGAGAGTGCGGGAGAAGCTGCCCTTGTGCTGCGCGGAGATTACATCAGCGCTGCTTGGGGACACAACAACATTGCTCGTGGCCGAGCTGGCATAAGCCGCCGCACCAGCCTCTGCGGCTGCAGCGGTGCTTCGGATCGCGTCGAGCACCGCGCCTGTATCGTGCAAGAGCAAAGCCTCGAACGTACTGAGGTCAGCTATCCCGAGTTCGTTGAGCAGACCCTCCAGCACAATGCTGAGATCGTCCGTGCCATATGTGTCGCGTGTCCAAGCCCAACGCAACGGACGTCGCCGAAGTCCTCGTTCACGCCGTGTATCGCCTCCCGCAAGCTGGGGCACGCTCCGAACCGGCTGGAGCCGCTTCCACGCTCAATTTGGGCGATTTTTACGCGATTTTTACGGATTTACGGATTGAAGGGGGGTGGCGGCCCATAGGGGGAGGGGGAGACGCCGATCTACGAATCAAGTTGGTGCCGGAGCGAGCTACAAGCGTGCTAGGAGCGGCCGCACACTGCTCGGTACCCCCCCTGCACTTCTAAGCCCATCCCTGCCTGCTAGGGGGGGGCGGGTCTGACCCCCCCAGCAGCAGAGCGCTGCTGCTGGGGGGGGGGTCCCGACCCCCCCTATACCGGCAGGAGCTCGGCGCGGAAGAGGAGCAATTGGGCCCTGGGAACACCTCTAAAAGAAAGAAAGAAAACAGACAAACCCAGACGAGGGATGGGGGAGGAGGACAGGGTCCCCACCTGCACGAGCAGGATTTTGGAAGGACGATCAGGGGGACAGGTGGGGCTCTCCTGCTCCTGACAAGGGACACGACAGGCTCGCAGCGCGGTGCACGGTGGGCTCCCAACTCCACTGGCGGTCTCATCTCAGTCTAGCGACCTGCCTCCAGCTTCTCGCTGGCTGGCAGTCTCTCACTACCACAGGCACACTGACACAGGGGTGGCAGGGGCGGCGGCAGGAGTCACCCACATTACTATGCGGGCCTCACTAGAGGTGCGTCCTGTGTCGTGTCCTCGTCCTTGATGTCTTGCGGGGGAAGGGGAATGGGCTGTGTGTGCGGGGAACACCTCTTTCTTTTTCTCACCTGCCGCAAGATTCTTTTTCTCGCCCCCCCCCGGCGAGATGTCCACCCCGCCGCGCCGCTCGCGCCGCTCGCGCCGCCTCGCCGCCGCCTCCACCGCCGCTCCCTCGCCAGACACGCCGCCGCCCGCCCGCTTGCTCGACCTCCCCACGGAGCTCCTCGTCCGCGCCCTCTCTCGCTGCGACCCCGCCGACATCGCTCGCGTCGCGGCCGTCTCGCTGCTCTTCCACGCCTCCCTCGCGGTGCAGGGCATCCGCTTGTGGGCGCAAGAGCGCGGCTACGAGCTGCTGGCGCAGCCAGAGGGCGAGGGCTGCCCCGTGCGGTGGCTGTGCTATTCGGCGTTGCTGCGCGAGTCCAACCCGCCGGCGAGGGCGGCTGTAGACAATACGCACAGCATTTTCATCGACGGTGAGGGGCGGCTCTCGTCGTGCGGCTCCCCGCCGGCCTACATTCCAGCCCCAGGACTGCTCGGTCACGGCGAGGGCGTGACGCGGCTCAACACGCCGACCCGCCTCCCTTCCCCACTGGGCGGCGAGCGCGCCGTGAGCGTGTCGGCTGGAGCCGCCCACAGCCTAGCCCTCGCCACTGACGGCGTCTGGAGCTGGGGCGATGGAGGCTTTGGCAAGCTGGGCCACGGCGACGATCAGGCCCAGTGGCAGCCGAAGAAGGTCGAGGCCTTGGCTGACCTGCGCGTCGTCGCTGTCTCAGCTGGAACCACGCACAGCCTCGCCCTCGCCGCTGACGGCAGTGTCTGGAGCTGGGGCCATGGAGGCGGGGGCCAGCTGGGCCACGGCGACCGGCAGAGCCAGCTGCTGCCCAAGAAGGTCGAGGCGTTGGTGGAGCGGCGCGTCATCGCTGTGTCGGCGGGAAGCGACCACAGCCTCGCCCTCGCCGCCGACGGCGCTGTCTGGAGCTGGGGCTACGGATTCTTTGGCAAGCTGGGCCATGGCGACGAGGAGACGCAGCTGCTGCCCAAGAAGGTCGAGGCCTTGGCGGGCCAGCGCGTCGTCGCTGTGTCGGGGGGAGAACTGGACAGCATCGCCATCACCGCCGACGGCGCCGTCTGGAGCTGGGGCTGGGGATATCAAGGCCAATTGGGCCACGGCGACGGGCAGAACCAGCTGCTGCCGAAGAAGGTCGAGGTCTTTGCTGGCCGGCGCGTCGTCGCTGTGGCGGCTGGAGCGTACCACAGCCTCGCTCTCACCGCCGACGGCGCCCTCTGGAGCTGGGGCGATGGAGACCATGGCCAGCTGGGCCACGGCGACACGCAGAACCAGCTGCTGCCCAAGAAGGTCGAGGCCTTTACTGACCAGCGCGTCGTCGCTGTGTCCGCTGGAGATCACCACAGCCTCGCCCTCACCGCCGACGGCGCCTTCATGACCTGGGGCAAGGGCGAGGACGGCTGCTTGGGCCACGGAGAGGACCTGTCGAACCAGCTGCTGCCCAAGAAGGTCGAGGCGTGGGCGCCGGGGCAGTGATGAGAAGGGCGAAATGGGTGCGAGGCTGTGTGGAGCAGGCGGACGTCGCCTTCCAGGGAGGCGGTGTTGCCGAAAGGGCGTTGCCGAAGGGTAATAAATAAATAGAGCAGTCATCTCCAGGAGAGTAGATGGGCGACGCAGAAAGAGAAACAAAGAAAACACGGAGAACCCCCAAGGGAGGGATGGGAGGACGGCACGCCGCCACCACACAGGGGTAAGGAGAGGTGTGTGATGCGCTAGCCGTCGCACGAACACATTGCCCGTAGGCTTGAATTCTTTCCGCGGGCCTCAAGAAGAGGAACGCACTCCACACAACACACACACACACACACACACACACACACACACACACACACACACACACACACACACACACACACACACACACCGCTCCCCCAGCCACGCGCACTGGGCCTCGCACTGTTGTTGCCGTGGGCTCCTGTCGTCTAGACGCAGAGTCGTGAGGGTCGCCCCCCCGTTGCCCTACCACCTCGTGTGTGTGGAGAAGTTTACCGGACCTTTCCTTCCCTAGGAACGCACTCGTGTACCGGCTCGTCAGCGCGGGCTGCAGAGCGCGCCGCGGCTGGTGGTGACCTTGGGAGGAGGCTACCCCCGCAACCTCGAGCCGTCGTCGCCGCCCTTCCACCAGGTGGTGCAGAGCCACATGGACGTGTACCGCCAGTGCGCCGCGGCGCACGCGAGGCTGTGACGCACTCTGTGGCGCACTTTGTGGAGCAGCCTCTCGTTGCACCTCATCGATTACACAAACTAGGGAAAGAAAATAGGTTCCTCCACACTAAAACTCATTCAAATCGTTTCATCTTTCAAACCAAGAAAGCGAAGACCACTCACTCTCCAGCCGCAGCCCCCCTCGGGCGTGGATTTCACCCAGGAGGTTATCACATAGAGTCGTAGACCAGAGGGAGCGAGAAATCACACACATTTCGCAAGAAGGAACCTTGCAACGTGACAGATACGTAAACGCTGGTGCAGACATATCTCAGAGGTCGCGAAGGATCTCGCGCTGCTTCTCCTCCAGCACCGCGTCGGTCACAAGCCCATCGGCATGCCACTGCCTGAGGCTGCGCAAGCGCTCCTGAATCTCGCTGCGGTCGCTGCGTTCAGCAACCGGCATGGATGACGATGAGGAGGAGCTCGCGGCTGCTTCAACCCGCGGCTGCTTCGCAGCGGGCTCCTGCTCGGCGGCGCCAGCAGCTCCGAACGTGGGCGCAGTCGCGGCGCCGGCCCCAAACGTCGGCGCAGCGGCGGCGCCAGCGGCTCCAAACATCGGCGCGGTGGCGGGGCCAGCAGCTCCGAACGTTGGCGCCGAGGCGCCGCCTGCGGCCCCGAAGATCGGCGCGGCGGCGCCAGCCCCAAAGGTTGGCGCGGGGGCGTCGGCCGCTTGGGCGCCGAAGATGAAGGTGGCCGCGGGCGGCGCGGCAGAGCCAAACGAGAACTGGGGGGAGGGGCAGCAGGGGTGCGTGAGGAGAAGGGCAGAATGAGGGGCTGAGGAAGGGCTGGACGAAGGTGGGGGGCAACCTTGGGCAAGGGGGAGAGGGAGGGGGGAGGGGGGGGGCTGGGGGCCAAGGCAGCGCGCACCGGCGTGGCCGACGCCGCCGCCCCGAAGACGAAAGGCGCCGGTGTAGAAGAGGCGGGCGCGGCGGCGCCAGTGCCGCTGCCCGCGGCGGCGCCAAACGTGAACGGGAGGGAGGGCTGCGGTGGCGGCGACTGCTTCGAGAGCGGAGTGCTGCCAAAGGTTCGCCCGATGCCGTGCCCGTCGCTCGCACTCACTCCTCCGGTCGCTCCTCCGGCGGCCGGCTTTGCTCCGAAGCTGAAGAGGCCGCCCGCGGCGGGTGCGGGCGCGGCGGCGGGCACGGCATCGGGCGCGGCGGCGGGCGGCTTCGCCAGCGGCGACGGCGATGCCGCCGCGCCGTGAGCTGCGCACGCCGCCGGCTTGCGGTCCTTAGTGAAGTTGTAGATGAGCGGGCTGGGCTCGCGCGCGGCGGCGGGCGTAGAGGACTTTTTGCGCCCCTGCGTCGGCGTGAAGGAGAAGCGCCTGCGCGTGGCGGCGGCGGGGGGGAGGGCCGGTGAGAACAGAGGAGCGGGCTCGGAGCCCGGGCACCGCGTGCGAAGCGGCTCGCCTCTTCGCCACCGACGCAGTCGCCGCCGAGGCCGGGGTCGGAGCCTGCGCCTCTTCGTCCAGGTCGATAGCCGATGCAAAGCCCTCGGCGTCGCGCTCCTCGCGGCTTCTGGTCTGCATGACCCCACCAGCGCCAGCTTTCACCTTGACGGTCACCAAATAACCGTCTTTCAGCATCTCGGCGGTGATGGTCTGTTGTTGCGAGTCGACCAGCTCCTCGATATCGTCGTAGTCGCAGCCAAGCGCTCGCGCCGCGTACGCAGTCAAACCGTCGATCGATAATCCTCTGCGATAATCCTCAGGAACAGGCGGTTGGATAGCAGCAGTCACAGTGAGTCCAGTTCCGCCGCGTCGGAACTGAACGTTGATTCGACGCTCCGGAGGATCGACACCCCCGCGTCCGCAAAGGTGTAAAGTGTTGTGACGGTGAACTCCATAGCTGAATATCGTGCTGCCGTCTTCGAGTTGCCTGCCAGCAAAAATCAAGCGCTGCGAGATGGTTGGCATGCCACTGCGGCGCTGGACCATGGCCTTCACGTCGTCGATGAGGGTGTGCGACTCCACATTGAGAACCTCGGTCTTGCCGTCCAACATTTTGATGAAGATCTGCATGCTCGTCCAGCGATGGCCGAGCGTGAGGACGACCACGGCACGGGTGAAGGGGGTCGAAGGGCGCTCCCCTCCGCGAACGCAGTCGGGCTTTGACGCTCTTGGCTTTGACAACTCGCACGCGATTTTTTCCCGTTATCAACGCAAGTGATCGACATTCCCTTCAACCTTCAACCACGCGGAATGGCTGTTCACACCCCGCGCACAAAGGTCTGAACACTGAACATTCTGTGAACATTCATGCATGTGCTGCACGCTGCGCGACACGGCAGCCTCTCTCAGCTCTAGACGCGGCATCAGTGAGGCGGTTCGCGTCAGTGAGCTTCCCCCCTGCCCTCCCCTCTCCGGCTTGGGGGAGCTGTCTCTCTATCATGCTGCCTCTCAAATCACCCTTGGAGGCCTCGGGCTTCTGGTCCGGCTCTGCTGGCCTTGTGTGTCCACGTGCCGCCTGCCAAGGCGGTTGAGGAGATGAGGACCAACCACGTTGGCCTGTACACGTTAATCTTCCGATTCTATATTCTTTTTCGAAGCGATTTTCAGCGATTTTCAGCAGGAATATAAAGAATATTTGAGTGAATGAATACAGACCCTAAATTCGGAGCTGTATATTCTTGTCATATTCGAGATTTGTTTTTGTCATATTCGAGAATATAGACCCTGTTTTGGACAAGAATACGGAAAGAATACGGGAAAAGAATATCTTGCGAAAAATCTCTCTCTCAGGTGTGCGGACGTGTCATCAACCCAATTGCCTTCTGCCCTGTTTGTCGGCCCTTGCGAGACGCTCGCATCCCCCGCTCTCTCTTGTTTCACCGATGGATGTGCAGTCGCGCAGCGAGTCTATCAACAAGCATGTTGCCTTCCGCATGTGCGTCGCCACCGTCCTTCTCGCCATCAGCGGCATCTTTGTCGTGGTTGCGTGTGCTGTGCCGGCATTCTCTGCCGGGACGCGAACCTGGAAAATATATGAAGTGGACGGGAGCGATTACGGTGGGTCGGTTGGCTATGGCATCTGGGGCGTCGGCGGATATCTGAACGAGGACGCCTGCAATTTGGTCAACGCGTTCATCACGCTTCGTGGTGGCGACAAATGGTCCTGCTCGGATGTGGTCTCCTACCACTGCGAGTACGTCTCGTCGCCAAGCATCCAGGAAGGCTTTGACAACATTCTCTGCGCCTACGCCCGCAGCATCGCATGGGAGGCGCGCTCCTGCGACGACGACGACGACTGCGCCGAAGGCGACACCTGCGGCGGTGACGACAAGTGCTCCGGCGGCGCGGTCGGCAACTCGGCCACGCTCAAGCCCTGGATCGCGGGCGCGGAGGCGACGTCGGTTTTGACGGTTCTGCTTGTGTTCGTCGCCTTTGTGCTCGCCTGCTCCTGCTCCGGGCGGCCCAAGCCCTGCCTCACCGCCGCCCTCGTCGCCGCGGCGGCGGTGCTCTGCGCTGTGCCGTTTGCGCTGTGGGAGTTGATCGCCTGCGTGGCGCTCGTGGACGTACGCCCTCCAGGTCTGCGGCTTCCTCGTCCTCCTGACCTCATCGCCCTGTTCACGCTGCCTGGTGTTGAGAAGATCTGTGAGATTTGTTGTTAGTGTTGTGTATGTGAGAGGGACTCGTGGGGGGGCGCGGGGGCCCCCGGCCCACACCGTGCGCCGCGCAGCAGTGGCAGTGCGGAAACAGGGCTCCGGCTCTACTAGTCTCTACTAGCACCAATTTTCCGATTAAGATAGGTTAATCAGAGGGCAGATTTGGAGAGATCTCGAGGAGTACATACAGATAGACCCTCCAACCATAAGAAAACTCCCTGATCGGTCGTACTGACCGCCGACAGATCACTCCAGACAGCAGAGACAGGCCGACATCTGCACGCGGTATAGACAGTACTTGGCGAGAAAAACGTGTACAGGCCAACCAACCAGGGGGAGATCACGCAGGAGGTAGCAGCCGAGGCGCAGTGTGAGACGGCCGTGGGAGATGAAGACCTAAGTTTTGGTCAACTCGAAGCGGAGCCGGATGCCGAGCCACTCGCGTGCGGGGAGATCCCAAGCAATGAACCATCTGGAACCTTCGTGCTGGCCTGCGAAAATTCTTTTAGTTGCTAATGGCCCTCTTGACGCATATGTTGCCAGACGACCCCGAGCGTCGCGGCGCCCAAATAAGGCCCATCGCGCCGATTGCCGTGGTCGATTCCAGTGAGTCTCAAAAGGCCCAGGTCGACGAAGTTGGGGTCGTTGGCCCGGTAGGAGGTTGTGGCGGCCGTAGCAGCCCCGGGCTTGGTGGGGTTCGCCCCCCCTTTGCTGGAATGCAAGGCCAGCTGCTCTGCAGTGTGTCATGGCTTGTGCAGTATGTCACGGCTCATGTGGTCGTCGCGTGGCGATTAGGTCCGCTCCGGCGTGTCTCGTCGCGTGGCGATTAGGTCCGCTCACGTCGTCTCGTCGCAGACGCGGCATCAGTGAGGCGGTCGCGTCAGTGAGCTTCCCCCCTGCCCTCCCCTCTCCCGGCTTGGGGGAGCTGTCTCTCTATCATGCTGCCTCTCAAATCACCCTTGGAGGCCTCGGGCTTCTGGTCACGGCTCTGCTGGCCTTGTGTGTCCACGTGCCGCCTGCCAAGGCGGTTGAGGAGATGAGGACCAACCAGGAGGTAGCAGCCGAGGCGCAGAGTGAGACGGCCGTGGGGGATGAAGTCCTAAGTTTTGGTCAACTCGAAGCGGAGCCCCATGCCGAGCCATTCGCGTGCGGGGAGATCCCAAGTCACATAAAAAGAAAGAAAGAAAACAGACAACTCAAGGGAGGGATGGGAGAACGGCACGCCGTCACCACACAGGGATTTTAAGGAGAGGAGTGTGATGCGCTAGCCGTCGCCCACCCTGGGGAGTCACATCTGGAACCTTCGTCGCGAGGTCGAGCACGCCAGAGCCGTGATGACCAACCCGTTGACGTGGGTGGGGCGTGGGGCATTCCTCCTGGCGAGCGGCCGCGGCGCTTCTTTTAATTCCTAATGGGTCTCCTGATGCTTTCGCTCCCCTCTCTCCTCCTCCTCTCCTCGCATGGCTCGTCCGCTGCCACCTCGCATGGCTCGTCCGCCGCCGCCGCCGCCCCTCCGCACGCGCTGCACCCGCTGCTCACTTCTTTGCGCAGCGTGCGCGAGCGGCTCACACGCCGGCGAAAGAAGCGAATCCTGATTCTGATCTCCGACACCGGCGGCGGCCACCGCGCCTCGGCCCAGGCGCTCGCCGGGCTCATAGGGAGGCAGCACGGCGAATCGATCGAGGTTTCGATCGTTGATGTCTGGACGAACTATGCACCCTATCCCTTCAACAGGCGAGTGTCTCCCTGCCCTCCGCCCTCCGCCCTCCGCCCGCCGCCCTCCACCGCCCATGCCCTGCGCTCAGGATGGTGTCGCAATATCGGTACATGCAGTCTCGGCCGCTCCTGTGGGGCACCATGTACCGGACCTCCGCGTTCCCGCCCACCCGCTTCCTCTTCAACTCAGCGCAGCGGCTGCTCGCCAAGAGCGGCATCCGTGCGTGCATCGCGCAGCACGAGCCAGACCTTGTCATCTCGATGCACCCGCTCTGCCAGACCGTGCCGCTGCAGGCACTCGCCTCGCTCGCCCACGATGGCCCCTCCCCCTCCTCCGTCGCGTCGCCGCCGCGGCGTGGCATCAGAGTGCGCTGGAGGCCCCGCCGGCGCGCCGGCGTGAGCGGCGGCGAAGCGCGCGGACGGGTGCCGTTTGTGACGGTGGTGACGGACCTGGGCGCGGCGCACCCGCTGTGGCTGCACCCCGGGGTCGACCTCTGCTTCGTCCCCTCCTCCTCGTTTGTCCGCGCCGCCAAGAGCAAGGGGCTCACCGACGCCCAGCTGCGACTCCACGGGCTGCCGGTGCGGCACGACTTTGCGGTGCAGCGGCGGCGCGGCGCGGCGGCGCGGCGCGAGCTCGGTCTGCATGCAGACCGGAAGACGGTGCTCGTCGTTGGCGGCGGCGACGGGGTGGGGAGGCTGGGCGCCATCGTCTGCGCGGTTGCGGCAGAGCTCGGCGGACGGGCCTAGAAGCTGACACGCAGTCCTGACACGTAGTCCGCTGCATCCTCCGAAGTGTCCGCGGCAATCTTAGACTGCCACGCCGACCTCGGTGTGTTCATGACGTAGGCAAACGGGGCGAGCCGGTGCAGCTCGTCGTCATCTGCGGCCGGAACGCGCGGCTGCAGCAGCAGCTCCGTGAGACGGAGTGGGCGCCGTCGATTCACGTCGTTGTCGAGGGCTTCGTCACGCGCATGTCCGAGTTCATGGCCGCCGCAGATTGCCTGATCACCAAGGCTGGGCCGGGCACGATTGCCGAGGCGTCCATCTGCGGGCTGCCCGTCATGCTCTCGGGGCGCGCCGCATCTCTCGGCCCGTTGTCTCGCTCCTCACCGCCGCCTCCCTCCTCTCTCGCTGCCGCCTCTCTCCTCGCCGCCGCCGCTGCTACCCCCCCCCCCCAAGCATAAAAAAAAGAAGCTGGAGGCGCCGCACCGCCCGCTTTCTGCGCGAGGGCGAGTTGCAACACACCGAAGCTTCGGCCGAGGGCGTCACATGGAATAGGGGGAGCGCGCCCTTCTTCAACGATATCTTGCTGA